GCCCTTGGCTCCGCCAAAAAACTGCTTGTCATCTAGCGCATGAATGCGACCGCGGGCCAACTCGGCAGCGTCGAACACCTGCTCCATCGCTGCTAGGGGCGAGAGCGAAGCCCAGTCAAGTAGGGGCGACTGCTGGCTGGGGTCCCACTGCATGCGGGCCTTCTCATCCTCATCCGTGGGAAACGGGAAACTACGAGGCACCACCCGCGGCCACGCATTGGCCTGTCCAGCCACCTGCTTGACTTGAAACACAACTGCAGAATGAGGCGCAACTGGCGTGTTAGGCTGCTCAATGCACTATTTGCCATGAGATTCGAGACCGCGGCCGACCTCAAAAAAGTCGCACCCGTTACTGTGGCTCGTCTCTCCTGGGGGCCTGACCACTGTCGCCCCAAGGAGAACTGCCCATTGGAATGTAGTCAGCTGCTCCGCATGAATGTTCCAGCCTGCTCCTAGAACAAACCGGCAGCCCACCAAGGCCGCCGCTTCCCTGAGCTCCTCTACAAACGCAAGGTTGCCGCCTGAGGGCCCAAGCGTGGTGCGGCCGTACACTGAACCAAAAATGGACGGGAAGGAATGGCGCAACATGACCTTGACAATGCAGAGCCTCTCCGACCAGCTGCTCTGCCCATGCCCGTTGCTGCCAAAATGAGCCTTACCTGCGATGGCCGTCCTTCCAGACGTCTCTCGGCGCCCCGCTCCCGCTCGCGCCGCTTCCGCGAACCGTGACATGTATCCAGCCGTGTGACCCCAACTGCGAGCCGCTTTGAACTGTTCCAGTTCCAACCTATGTTCTTGATTAAATAAGACATCGAGCACACAATGTTTCACGTTCAAGGCCCATCCCATGTGACTCTGAGCCGTAGACCACGAACTGCTGTTGTAGTTGACCAGCTGGAAATCCAATCTTCGAGATGTGGGTGGAGGGCCGCTCCGACCTGGGGCATCTACCATCTGCACGTCTGCAGCCCAGGAAGGAGGCTGGGTCTGATCGAAGGCTTCGGCCACCCGCGCGTCTGCGGCATCGATCCAAGACCCGCTGCCGTCCTTTAGGGTCTGCCCTCCAGCGGGCTCCCCAGGGACCACCAGCCCCGAACCTCCTGCGCGCCGCCGCCTCCACTGCTGCGAGGGGGCAAGGCCGCCCCGCGCTGGGGCCCCGACCGCCTGCGCGTCAGCAGCCCAGGGTGGCGGCTGAGCCTGATCGAAGGCATCGGCCACCCACTCGTCTGCGGCCCCAATCCAAGACCCGCTGCCTGCCTTTAGGGTCTGCCCTTCCACGGGCCCCCCAGGAACCGCCAGCCCCGAATAACCGGCGCGCCACCGCCTCGTATGCAGCGTGGGGGCTAGGCCGCTCCAACTTGGGGCATCGACCACCTGCGCGTCTGCAGCCCAAGGTGGAGGCTGGATCCGATCGAAGGCACCGACCACCCGCACGTCTGCGGCATCGATCAAGGACCCGCTGCCTGCCTTTAGGGTCTGCCCTTCCACGGGCTCCCCAAGGGCCGCCAGCCCTGAAAAAACCAGCGCGCCACCGCCTCGCATGCGGTGCGGGGGCAAGGCCGCTCCACCTTGGGGCTTCGACCACCTGCGCGTCAGCAGCCCAAGGTGGAGGCTGGATCCGATCGAAGGCATCGGCCACCCGCACGTCTGCGGCCTCGATCCAGGACCCGCTGCCCGCCTTTAGGGTCTGCCCTTCCACGGGCTCCCCAGGGACCGCCAGCCCCGAAAAAAACGCGCGCCGCCTGCCTGACAGCTGCTGAGCCCTAGAGGCCCGACCCACTGCCCTCGGCCAGCCTGGCTCTTGGCGCTTCGACAGCAGCTTGCAGCTCCTAGGTGCTGGGAGTGTCGGCCCCCCCCGAGGGTGTCGTGGCCGCCGATTCAGGCACGGCAAACTCAGCACCAGACACGGCAGCACCAGCCGCAGGACGAGCCCCAGGCGCCGATGCGGGTGGCGTCCCAGGCTGGGCGGCGGCGGCGGAACTGGTGCCATCGCCACGGTCGGACTGGCGGGCACGCTTGGCCGACAAGCGTTTCCGCATGTCTCTGACTTCAGCTCTGAGCCGCTGAATGTTGTCAGCGCTGGGCCCGATGGCAGCAACAACTGCCTTCTGGATCTCCGCCGCAATGTTGCTTTTGAGGGCAAGCCACCGCTGCTTGTCCTCGTCTTCAATCTCGAGCTCGCTGAGGTCGAGAGCCTCGCCGTCCACGATCTCCACGCCTTCGAAGCCACTCTCCTCCCTCAGCAACTGCGACAGGTTGATCTGGGAGCCAGTCGGCATATGCACCGCATCTGGCGGAGGCCCCACACCAGGCGTCGAGCCACGGGCCTTCTGCAGCTCGACCTTGAGCTCCTCTTGCCAGGCAGTCTTGGCCTGCACCGCCCAAACTGCCGCCTCCTGGGTCTTCTGGCTGCACTCCGCCAGCCAGCGCCGCGCCTCATCCTCCTGGCGGACCGCATGCTCCAGGGCCTTCTCCGCCCTCCTGCACGCCACTCCCTTCGCACTGATGGTCTCCTCCAACAGCGGCTGGCGGGCTGGCTGCGCAGGCGCGGGCGGCGCCACAACCCTGACCAAGGCCTGCAGCTCCTGCGCACCTGCGTCCGCCTTGATATGCTGCTGGGGCTGCTTGAGGATCTCCGCCACTGTCGGTTGCGGGGCCGCCCCTCGCTGTGGTGGCGTCGAGACCTTCGGTGCCTCCAGGCGACTGGGTGCCCAGGTCCCTGGCGGGTGCGCGGGCCCTTGTTGGACACCACCATCGTCGCCAGGCGACCAAACTCCTTTGGCCTGGCGCCACGGCATCGGCGACGAGGGGACCAACGCATTGCCACAGGAGAAGCAACTTTCACGCGACTTCCAGTTCCAGCGGTATCGGCAGCTTGAGCAAGAAAGGTAGCCTTTGGCGGCATCCTTGCCCGTGGGCTCCTCCAGGAGCTCACCCAGAACGGGAAGATGTTGTGCCAGTGAGGCACCAGGTACAATCGCGGAGTGGCCGTGAGGCCGTGTGTGAAAACAGCTTGGACGAAGGCCCAGGGATCGCAGGTGGGGGCGCACCTCCCCCTTGCCACCCTCAAGTCGCTGAGCCTCCCGCTACGGACTTGAGCCAAAATGGCTTGAGCCAAAATGGCTACGGAGGAGGAGGAGGAGGAGTAGGAGGAGGAGAAGGAGGAGGAGGAGGAGGAGGAGGAGGAGGAGGGAGGATTGATGGGGAGGAGGAAAAGGCAGGATAAGGAGGGAGGAGGAGAGAAGAAGGAGAAGGAAGAAAGGAGGTCGAGGAGGAAGTAGGGATGAGTGAGCAGAAGGAGGAGAAGGAGGAGGCGTGAGGGAGAGGAGGAGGAGGAGGAGTGAGAGAGGAGGAGGGGAGGAGGAGGAGGGGAGGATGAGGAAGGAGGATGAGCAGTAAGGAGGAGGATCTGAAGGAGTATGGAGTGCAGTAGTAGGTAGAGGTATTCTGAGTATTCGTACGTTTACCAAGACAATCCCCTGGCGCCGCAGAAGAAGCCTGGCGCGCCCGCCGCGCCAGCGCAACACCCGGCTGGCTCGACGGCCGCGCGGCGGCCTCCCCACGCGGCGAGGGGACGCGCCACGCGACGTGCCAGGGGGACTCGCCAAGGGACGCCCCACGGAACGTGCAAAGTTGCAATGCTGAGCGTATCGATCTTGATGTACCGTGCCGAAGTCTGTGCTGTGCTGCGCCGTGCTGAATTGCGATGTGCCATGCCGCAATTGTGCTCTATAGCCTCTTGGAACAAGTCCTGGCAACGTGCCAAAGGACGTGCCATAGGGACGCACCGCGGGACGTGCCAAGGGGACGCGCTACGGAACGTGCTGGGGACAAGCGTTTCGCTCGAGACATGCTGTCGAAATCCCAGGACATCCTGGACAAACAACCAAATTCGTCGAGACATCCTCGAAATTCCTGCGCGCGGGACGCGGCACGCGCGAGACATCCTCGGAATTCCTGCGGACGTGACGTGAAACCAAACATTTCGCCTGAGACATCCTCTGAATTATGCCCCCCCGCGATGCCCCCGCTCGAGACATCCCCCAATGTTGCAAAACCAGCGTTTCGCTCGAGACATCCTCGACACATTATGAACATCTATAGGATCACACAAAATCCTGGAGAGGAACAATCTATAGGAATATACGTTCAAACGAACGTATTCGTGCCCGGGGGCCAATCCATAGGTAATGAGAGGGCCCATGTATAGGAATATATGAACAAACGTACGGACTCGTGCCTCTGAAGAGACCCAGTCTGTAAATCATGGAAGGCCCATTTATAATAACATGCGTAAAGACACACGGATTCGTGCCCCTGGAGAGGGCCAATCTATGGGAACACACGTAATCCTGGAGAGGGCCAATCTATAGGAAGATATGTAAAAGCAAACGAATTCGTGCCCCTGGAAAATGCCAATCTATAGGTAATGAAAGGGTCCATCTATAGGAACATACGTAAAAACATACGCATGCGTGCCCCTGGATGAGGCCAATCTATGGGAACACACGTATTCCTGGAGAGGGCAAATCTATAGGAATAAAAATGTCATCACACGTATTCGTGCCCCTGGAGAGAACCAGTCGGTAACGAGAGGGCCCATCTATAGGAACATACGTAGAAACACACAGGTAAATACCCCTGGATGTGGCCAATCTATAAGCATTACGTAATCCATGCCCCTGACCAAAACGTGCCCCGCACCCTTTGATTTATCGATCGCGATTTCAAAAACCAGCGTTTCACTCGGGACATCCTCAACTATTAATTCGCCGGCCCACCTCGACCTCGATATTTATCGCGAAAAAAAGCGCCAGCCCACCTCAAGTCAAACCCAGAGGTAAACCCACTAAAAGAGAACCCTGGGCTCATGCCCTTTCCGGGGAACAACTTCCCAGCAGGCCAGAGGGCTTCTGAGAAGCCTCGCCGGCCTTCTGACAGGGCCCTCTCCTTCTCCCTTCCCGCCCTCGCTCGCCGCCGATGCGAGGCTCGGGGCCCGCCTTCCGCATGATCTCCACCTTGTCCCCCTGCATCTGCGGCACCTTCCACCTCGCGGCGCAGGGCCCCGCCCCCCCCCCCTCCCCGCGAGGCGCGCGCCCCCCTCCCGAGGCGAGGCCTAGCTCCGGGGGGCTACTTTTTTGGGCTGCCCGCCCGGGCGACCGACCGACTGATGGGCCGGCTGACGAGGAGCTCGTCGCCCTCCTCTTCTGCCTCCGCGTCCTCCTCCTCGTCTCGCCTCCTCGTCCTCCTCGTCCTCGTCCTCCTGCACGTCCTCATCGCAAGCGTTCCGTCGCCCGCTGCCTACCGATCCTCAGATCCCCCCTCCTCCTTCCGTCTCCTCGTCCATACAAATATTCCTCCTGCTCATCCTCATCCTCCTGTCCTGTTCTCTCCTCTCCTCGCCTCTCCTCTCCTCTGCTTCCCTCATCACCAACCACCATCACAAACAGCATCAGCATCAGTATCACCATCAACAGAGTCATTATCAACATCCTCGATCCTCCTTGGACACTCGTCGCCCTCTTCCTCCTCCGCCCCCCATCTCCTCCGACCCTCGCAGCCAGCACCCTACCCCATCCTGCCGCCGCCCTCCCGCACCCCCTGCCACCCTCGCCCCCTCCCGCCGCCCTCCCCCGTCCCCCCTCCTCGCCCCTGCCCTCCCGAGCAGAGCCTCCCCCTCCCGCCCGCTCCCCACCCCCCCTCGCGCCGCACCCCCCCCCCCACGGGCCCGACCGGCCCAGCCGCCTGGGCCGCTGCAGGACCGCGCCACCAGCAGGGTGTAGACCGCGAACCTGCCCGAAGGGGGCCCCGAGGCCGTGCCCCCCCCCCCCCCCCCCCCCCCCCCGGGGCCGTCGCGACCGCTGGTAGAACTGAAAAGCGAAGCTCCTAGAAACAGACGTTGTTCTACAGGGAATGTTTATTCTTTGCCTTTGGGGGGCCTTCTCAGAGGCCTCTTGGACAGTCGTGGGGGGGTCCTTTTGGGCCTTTCGTGGCCCGTCTGGGAGCCCATTCCGGCTGTCCCAAGCCCCGCCCTGCGGCCGCGCCTCTCCTGCCTGTCCCTTCCGCGGAGGCGCCGCTCTCGTGCCGCGTCCGCCCCCCTCCTTCGGCCATCCGCCCTGCCCCGCGCCTCCCCGCGCGCACGGTGGCGCAGCTCGCTCGGGCGGCATCCCCGTGTGCTTGAAGGGGCCCCAGGACACACAACTAAATACACAAAAAAAAAATATCCCCCATATGTTCTCACATTTTCTGGGCTTTTGCCTTCCCCCCCACTTCCCATATTTTCTTATATTTTCCTGGGAATCGACGATTCATTGTGTCTGTGTGTGTTTTTTCCCCTCTTGAGTGCTGGCGGTGCGCACGAGGGGGCGGAGGGAGGGGGGGAGGGCTTCTCGGAAGGGGGCTGCTTCTGTAGAAGGCGCCGGCCTGACATATCTACAGAGAGGGCCCGCGCCTTCTACTCAGAAGCAGGGGTGCTTCAGAGAAGCCCTCCCCCCTCCGCCCGCCCCCCATGCGCGTGGCCGAGTTTAGGCATCCATCGCCACCGTAGGCGTCCCCTGCCTAGCCGCCGACGCAACAACAACTTTTCCGTGGGAGCCTGCTGTCCAAGTGTGCACCTGCTCTGAACCGGATGTGGAGCAGATTAGGGGCCGGAAGTGGATCGGATTCGCACATTCAGAAGGGAGGCGAGAAGAACAAGGAGGGGGAGAAGGAATGGGAAGGACGAAAGGAAGGGCCGAAGGCGGTCCAAAGCTGATCCGAATGCAAGGAAAGCTGGTTCCAATGTCGCCGCCCAAGGCATCCCCTGAGCAGATGTCGAAGCCGCCGACTCTTCCGATCGGGCGCGCCGAACCCCACTCTCTCGCGCCGGGAACGACTCGGGACGGGAGGTTCTGTGGACTTCTGATGTTCCACCCTACTCTTAGCCATGACCACTAGAACGAGTCTCGAGCACCAAGAGAGCACCGAAACTGGAGGGCTTGCCAGCGCCGGGCCCTGGGAGGCGATACCCGTTCGACACCGTTCCGATATTCTTCTGGGTGCTCGACACTGTTGCTGGGATGTGGCCCTGAAGTTTGAGCAGGGACCGACCGTCCCGGCATTCCTGTAGTCCTACCACGAAATGTGCTTAGAACCCCAAAAACTGTTCTAAGATCCAAAACGTTGTTCTTAGAACACAAACCCGATGTGATAAAACAAGACAGACTCCGCCAGAAATGCTCTAAGAACATTTCGTGGAAGCCACAAAAGGTTCTTAGAACATTGTTTGGTGGGGCAATAGGCGAGCTAGGACGCTTCAACACTGCTTGAGAAGTACGGTGGGAGCTACCTAACTGTGCAAGCCACCAGGCCCTCGCCCGGCCCAGGGAGCGGCGAGGACGCCTCGTTGGGTGGAGTCGCCGACGAGAGGGCCGTCGCGGGCAACGGGCCGAGGCCGCCCTGGGGCTTCCCCATCCTGAGAAAAGTGGGCGGCCACCGGGTCCTTCGCGCCAGCGGGTGGCGCGCCCCGCCGCGCCAGAGTTGGGTCGGCCATGACCCCCTACAGGCGGATCTTGGACGAAAAATAATAAATGGTCAAACAGTATTCAAGACACGCTCAGCAGTAGTCCGGAAATGGAAATCGTCCCCAGACTATTGTTTGACTATTTCTCGAATATTCCACCAGTAGAGGGACATGCCCGACTTAACGCTAGCGTGGGGATGCTCGCGCAAGGGACGTACGCAGAAAGGGCGTGGCGCCGGCGGGCGCGCGGGGTCGAAGGGAACGCGGAGAGCGTGCACAACCAGGGCAGGCATCCTTGCAGACCGCACGCCTCGCAGCGGGCGCCAGGAAAGAGGGGAGCCCGGAGGGCGAGGATTAGCGCAGCGTGGCCCGAGCCATGCGCGCGGACGGGGACATGGCCAGGGAACGGTGTTGGAAGAGAAGGGCGGAGGCATGAGTCATGGGAGATCATCATGGCCCCGTCAATGATCTCCCCCCCCCCTTTCCTCGAGGCCAGATCTGGGCGCTGCAGGAGTAAACGATCGCGACCGCCCCAGAAAGACCCCAAGAGGTCCCGAAGAGATCCCCAGGAAGCCCCAAGAGGCCCCCACGAGGCGGCCCCCAAGAGCCTCCCAAGAGGCCCCCAAACTAACCCCAAGAGGCCCCCGAGAGCGCTCGTCGTCGTCGTCGTCGTCGTCGTCGTGGTCGTCGTCGTCGCCATTCGGGGTCGGCGGCACCGGCCGTAAGGCCTTCGCAATAAAAATCGCGACCGCCCTCTGTTCTTCAGAAGTCTCCCAGAGCCCCATCGGGCCGCTTCCATGCTCCGACGGCTCGGGACGAAAAGCGTGTCCCTGGGGCGGGGTCCAGATCGCAGAGGTGCCCACATCACCAAGCAAACGCGCGACGTCGGGACCCAGACCCCTGACGCCGTGTCTTCTTACAACGTGGACCCCCGGAGGTCTCGACCCTTGCCCCGGCATGGACGCTTATCCCGAGTTGCCTGTCGACGGTCCTGGGGCCTGGGGGAAGATGACACCCTCCTCTGTCGCCTGCTTGTTCTTTCCGGCGCGAGGGCATATGGTAGGATAATCAAATAAAGAGAGATAGAGAGAGAGAGAGAGAAAAACAAAGAGAGAGAGAGAGAGGGCGAGAGAGACAGAGAGAGACAGAGAAAGAGAGAGAGAGCGAAACAAACAGAGTCAGAGAGAGAGAGGGAGAAAGACAGGGAGAGAAGTCATCCTCCTCGTCGCCCTCCTCGGCCCTCTCGTCGTCGCCCTTGCCGCCCTCCTAAGGGGTCCCCTCGCCCACGCAAGGTCCCCCATCCATCGCTTCCCTGCGCCCTCCTCATTCCTCCTTCTGATCGTGTTCCGCTGCCTCCCTCCCTCCAAACTCAGCCTGCAGCTCGCATCCCCCCTCCTCACCCACACATCCTCCTGCTCGCAGGAAGGTTCTCGAACACGGGAACGTCAGGAGAGCCCGACTGCACGAATCGACGCACGGTGTTCATGAAGCAAAACATTCTCAGTTAGGGGGCGCGAGCCTTCAACTGCATGTATTATGTCCGCCGGCCCCCTTGCGGGGCCATCAGGCTGCGAGGATTAAGCTTGCTGCTCCCAGTGCCAGTTCCAGCTTCCAGTTTCCATTGTTACAGTACTGCTTTCTGCTTCCTACTGTAAATTGTCACTGTCCGCGCGAGGGGGGGGAGCCGAAAAGGACCCTGGTCAGCACCCCCCCAGAACCACGGGGCGGGGGGGCCCACTCTGGCGCTGGGGACGCGGGGGGGGGGGGGGTCGAGGGTCCCACAAGGGCGCTGGGGACGTTGGGGGGACTGGGGTGGTGGTGTGCGTCGCGACGCGGAATAAATGTCGGGGCGGAGGTGGCACGGGGCGGGGGACGACTGGGGCGCTGGGGACGCGGGGGAAGGTGGGGGAGGTGGTGTGCGTCGCGACGCGGAATAAAGCGTTCGTGGCGGAGGGGGCAATGGGCGGGGCTCCCACTGGGGCGCTGGAGACGCGGGGGGGCTCGGGGCAGAGGGCAACGGGGCGGGGGTCCCACTGTGGCGCTGGGGACGCGGGGGAGGGGTGGGGGAGGTGGTGTGCGTCGCGACGCGGAATAAAGTTGTCGGGGCGGAGAAGGCACTGGGCGGGGGGACGACTGGGGCGCTGGGGACGCGGGGGGAAAGGTGGGGGAGGTGGTGTGCGTCGCGACGCGGAATAAAGTGGTCGTGGCGGAGGGGGCAGTGGGCGGGTCCCACTGGGGGAGGGGAGGTGGTGATGTGGTGCGTGAGGAGGGGGAGTGGGTGTGCGTCGCGACGCGGAATAAAGTGGTCGGAGCTCTAGACACCCTGTGCAAGAGAATCAGGCGAAATAGTGAGGAGGAGGAGGAGGCCTGCTGCTTCCCCAGGACCGCTCACCCCACGACCTTCCAGGCAACGCCCAGGGGGTCACCACCGAGGGGTCACCGCCACCTCGGACTAACGAAGCCAAGACAATGATAAATTCGGGTGGGAATAAATCTGGAATCTCTGAGATCCTGCGGCTCTGGAGGATGTCTCGGGCGCCGCGGCCTTCCGAGAGCGTTCCGAAACGCTCTGAGAGAGTTCTGGAACGCGCGTTCCGGAACGCTCCAGAATGGGTTGATCCACGTCGTAACCCTGTCCTAGAAGCAGAGCCCCAAGAACTCTCCTAGGGTCCCCCAGGACACACAACAACTTCCAATACCTTCGCGACCTTCCATCATCCTTCCTCCTCGGACCTCGATCACCAGGAGGATGTGGTGACCCGTCATGGTGATCCCCCATGGCACTGCCTGTCCCACCAGGTGCGGCCAGGGCAGAAGACGAAACAACTGTGCAAACGCAGACTTCCCGATGTAAGCACTGGTTGGAACGCGCAGGGCGCGCCAGTGGCGGCGGCGCCAAGAGATCCGCGCGGGCATTCAACAAGTCCATAACTCTGAAGGTTCTTCCCCTCCGAAAGGGAGGCAGAGGCCGGGAGCCAGATCTCCGCCGTAAGAAGCGCCCGCCACAGATGCCGCGCCCCGCGCCGCAGAACAGCGCCAGGACCCTGCGTCGCGAGTGTCCGCAACCACTTGGCGAGAACCTGAGATAGGTGTTTGTTATGCTACATCTACACATACGTATATACTGATATACATATATATGTGTGTATGGGTGCATATATGTAGGTTCACATATACATGTACATATACACGTGAAATATATACATATATGTACATATGTGTGTGCACATGCATATACATACACATACAATATGCCCATCGATGGTAGCAGCGCTGTCCAGAACCGATCGGACAAAACAAAACAGGCGCAACCGACACCGATCCAAACCGAATATCGAAGCGGCCGAACGGACCGAACCACAGACCCCCCTTCGACGACGAAGTGTTTCTGCGCGACGCGGGCTGCTGGACGGCGACCTCGAATGCCCTCGACGCTTCAACGGCGGAATGCGAAGCCGACGCGCCATCAGTCACCGCCGAAATCCATCCCGACGTTTAGGGGCCATCCAGACACTGGAGCAACTCGCGGGCCACAGCATGACTTGTGCCACAAGAACTGCCGCTGCAGGCGGTGAGGGTCAGGGTGGGTGGGGGGGCGCAACGAGGCGGCTGGGGCGCGCGCGAACACGACGCAGAGCGGCGTAAGGCTGCGGCTGGCGGGCACCAGCAGCCACGCCTGCCAAGGGGGGCGGGGTGGGCTAGGCACTGGTCGCACCTTGCCGCCTGCTCCTCCGACCTGTTCCTCACCTTTCTCGTCCTCGTTGCCTTGTTCCTCATCCTTGCTCCTCCCTCCTCCCTCCTCCCCTTGCTCCCCTCCGCCTCCTCCTCCTCCTCCTGCTCTTCCTCATCCTCCTCCTCCTGCTGCTCCTCCTCATCCTCCTCTTCCTCATTGTCCTCCTCCCCCTCTTCCTCCTCATCCTCCTCCTTCTCCTCTCTCTTCCTCCTCGTTAACTCTTCCCTCCTCCTCCTGGGTGGGCAGGCAGCAGGGGGTAGGGTAGAAAAAGAGGGGGGCGGGAGGGCGAAGTTGCTGGGGAGGGGGGCTGTGGAGGGGCCGTGGGACGGGGGATCGGCTGCGGGGGGGCGGGGGGGCCCCAACGCCGAACCAAGATCCGAACGGACCTCTGGCAGAACTCACGGCCCGTTCTCCCTCTTCGACCCCCCGAGGGGCCCCCTGGATGGTGTCCCAGCTGATGGGGTCGCAGGACCGCGCCGCATCGCCGATACGTCGGCGATGCATCGCTGCCGCAGAGCGAAGAGAAGTCGGTGCCCGCACGCGGTCCGTGGAGAAAGCCGGTGCGTCGGCGATGCGGCGCGACCTGCCGACCCCACCCGCTCGGACCCCACCCGCGAGGCCCGCGGGCGGGGGGCACGAGTGGCGGGGCGCACCAGCGGCTCCGCCGCGAGCTTCAGGGCCGACAGGCTCGTGGTCGTGGCCGCGAGCGGCGGCAGCTTCAGCAGCGCGGGGCCCGCCATCGCCGGGGGCGGGCGGGCCGCCATGTGCGGCCGCGGCCCCCGGGCTCCTCTCGGATGGCTGCCGAGCCCCGCCCCGGGGGGACCCGAAGAGGCGGATGCGGAGGACGAGGAGGAGGGGGAAACGGGTGCGGCAGCAGAAAGGCTCTGGAGCGGCCACGCAGCCGGGCGAAGCACAGGGCGCAGGCGGGGCAGGGAGGAGGCACCAGGGAGGGGCGGGCGAGGCACGAGGAGGTGGCGCTTGCCTTCTCGGGAGACACAGTCCACATGGAGGTGAGGTTTCAAAGAGGGTCTTGCACCGTCACTGCGCGCGCGGATCTATCAACTTGGAGTCCGTGGCCCATGTTCTACATGTTTGTTGTTTGTTTCGTGTCGTTTGTTGTTGCTTCTGCTTTCTTGTGCATAAGGTATGTGAGCCATCGTTGGCCCCACAACGTCCGTTCCTAACATTATGGGTTGTGTAGGGGACTTACCACCGCGTCTCGCAGACAGCGTTGACGCGCTGGCACTCCAGTGGAAGTCGGTGGCTCGGGCGGGCGCGGTCTCATGGCGACGTCGGCGACAGCAGGCACGATGATGATAGTAGCGAAGCTGGCGACGACGACGACGATGACGACGGCAAGACCTATGACGGCGCCGATGCTGATCACGCCGATGACGATGATGGCGTCCACGTGTCGGTGATGAAGATGTTGGAAGGATTTCGACATGCGCGGGCGGCCGACGGGCGCGGGTGGCCCGCATGGTATTATTTGGATGGGATCGCGCGCCCCCCCCCCCCGCCCCCCAAAAAACACACGCGCAAAGGAGTTCGAGTGATTTCAACATGGGCGATTCGCGCGCGAGTGGCCCGTGTGCAGTCGCGTTTTGTGAACATTTGGAAAGCCGATGAGGCTCTTCGGAATGTTGAGCTCTCCCCTCCTGTGCACCACCTCATTTTCAATTCGAATGCTCCCCCCAGGGCTCGAACCCTTGTTTTGTGTGTCAGGGAAATTCTTTGGGCTCAGAGTGCGCCCCTGGCCCCCGAGCTATCACAACAACGGCCCCCGCCCCGGCTCCGGCTCTGGCTTTCTCCGCGTTCGATGGCCTTCTGAGGCCTCAAGACCGCTCCAGAAGAGCTGCAGAGAGTTCCAAGAGAGGCCTGAGAGAGCCCCAAGACGGCCCCTAGGGCGTCCAAGAGCGCCCCAAGAGCGCTCTCATAGGGGTCCTAGAGACGACTCTAGGCACTCTAGAGGGGCAAGGCTGAGCGAAGCTGCTCCGTTCTTTAATCGATGTCCTCCAAGATGGCTCCAAGAGCGCCCCAAAGCCTTCCAAGAGGGCCCAAAGAGGCGCAAAGGAGGCCCCAAGAGGCGCCCAAGAGGCCTTCAAGAGGCTCCAAAAAGACCCCCGAGAGACCCCAAGAGGCTACTCGAGGTACGCAAGAGGCCCCCGGGACCGCCAAAGGGCTCTCAACACGCCCCCCCAAAAGCCCGCAAACTCGCCATTGTACCCCTCCTCCTCCTCCTCCTCCTCCCTCCTCCTCTCCTCCTCCTCCTCCTCCCTCCTCCTCCTCCTCCTCCTCCTCCTCTCCTGCTCCTCTCCTCCTCCTCCTCCTCCTCCTCCTCCTCCTCCTCCTCTCCTCCTCTCCTCCTCCTCCTCCTCCTCCTCCCCTCCTTCCCCTCCCCCTCCTCCCTCCTCCTCCTCCTCCCTCCTCCTCCTCCTACTCCTCCTCCTCCTCCTCCTCCTCCTCTCCTCCTCCTCTTCCCCTCCCCCTCCCCCTCCTCCTCCTCCTCATCCTCCTCCTCCTCGCCTCCTCTCCCTCTTCGCCCCTCTCCTCCTTCGGCAGGCCCGCGGAGGCGCGTGCCGCTCCCTCCCGGGCCTGCGCGGGCCGATCCGAGCCCTCCGAGCGAAGGCCGATGCCAAGACTTCGGGACGCAGGCCTCGCAAAGCCTTGGGCCTCACGAGAGGTGCTCTGAATGCGTAGGGGCCTCCAAGGCCCCTCTTTGGACCTCCTCCTCCTCCTCCTCCCCCTCCTCCTGCTCCTCCTCCTCCTTCTCCTCCTCATCCTCCTCCTCCTTCCGTCCTCCCTTCCTCCTCTCCTCCCGCGTCCCGCGCCGTGCCCCCATGCGTTTCCTGCGCGCCCCGCTCGATGCTCGACGGGCGCGTGCACGGGCCTCGGGCGCGTGCACGGACCTCTTTGGTATAATGCTCAACATCACATGTTGTCACGAGCCAACAGCGGCCGCTGTTGGGCAGGCGGCCTTCCGTCTCACATGGGCACAGTCCGCGGCGACGCCTACAGCGAATCCTGCTCGAAAGGAACAGGAACTGCTGTCGGTCCTTGTGCCCATTCTTTCCGTACCCATTCTTGAGCAGGGACCTTCCTATAGTCCTACCACGAAATGTTCTTAGAACCCAAACCATTTTCTGATAACAAATACACTGTTCTCAGAACATGAGCCTCGCCAGGCCTTGGGACGACGGCCTCGCCAGGCCCTGGGCAGGGACCGACCGTCCCGGCACTCCTGGGTAGTCCTACCACGACATGTTCTTAGAACCCCAAATTGTTCTATGAGCAAATGCAATGTTCTTAGAACATAAGCCCGAGGTGATAAAACAAGACAGTCCCAGCCAGACATGTTCCAAGAACAGTTCGTGGAAATCGCAAAAGGTTCTTACATTATTCTTTGGTGGGGCTATAGGCGAGCTTGGACGCTTCGCCACTGCTTGAAGCCCTTGGTCCACCGCATGCTCCTCCGCTTCCCTGATCAAGGCAACACCTCGCCTGGGCAGCGTTTGTGGGCGGGCCGGTGGGGCCACGCGAAGCGTCAAGACTTTTCTGTTGGACACGCGGGCCATCCTGGGACGCATCATCATCCTGACCTCTCTCTCTCTCTCTCGGCGGCGCGCACCACGGGGTGGGGGGGAGGAGGACGGCTTCTTGGCAGGAGGCTGCTGATGTTTTTTCCAGCGCAGTGTTGGAGGGAGGAGATAGATGGAGCGGACACCACAATGCCATAGCACCGCACGTGACGCAAGCCTGCTGACAGCGATGCGAATGCCTTGCAATTTTGACCATCCCCGGCACAAATTGGCCCCATGGCCGTGGTGGCTGCTTCTCAGAAGGCGCGGGCCCTGCATCTATCGACAGGGCCCGAGCCTTCTGAGAAGGAATTGTGCTTCTGATAAGCCCTCCCCCCTCCCCCTACCCTTAGGCCGGGCATTTGCCCCTACAGGCGGATTTTGGACGAGAAATAAAAGCACCAAGCACTAAAATGAGAAACACTCAAAACCTCGTCCCCCGACTACTGTTTGAGCACTTCTGCACGTTCTTCCTGTAGAGGGACACGCCCGACTTGACCCTACTGCGCGTGGCTGACAAGAACTGCATGTACCAAACCTGTTCGAAGAAAAAGAACTATGCACATACACCGATTCTGGCCAGGCCCATCCTGAGACCAGGATCGGTGTATACGCCCTCCTACCTTGGCCAGGATCGGTGCATATGTCACATATGCACCGATCCTGGGTCAAGGATGGGCATTGCCAGGATCGGTGCGTGTGCATAGTTCTCTTCGCCCGAGTCTGCGCGGACCTCTTCTGCTGGGACAGGGAGGCCCCTCCGCCACTGGCGCTCCGGAGCGCGCCACGGGGGCGGCGCGGCAATGAATAAAAACAAATCGGCCCCAGACTATTGCTGGACTATTGTTGGACCTTCCCCTGTAGAGGGACATGCCCGACGTAAGCCAAGGCGGGATAGCCCAGATTCGACTCGAGAAGTCGGATCAGCGGTCGAAATGACATGGATCGGCAGCGATCGGAAGCCAGGTCGGTATATTAAGACGGATGAGCAGAGAGCTGCAAGCTAGCGACCCTGCACTCGGAATCCACATCGGAATCTGAGGCCGAATCGAGTCGGAAGCCATCGAAATCGAACAGAATCGAATCGGTGTAAATAAAATTGGCCCTGCCAGGGGCGGCTCCAGCGCTGACCCGGAACAAAAACCGCGCGGGCCCCCCCCCTTTCTGAAAAGGTGCCGAGACCGCCACTCCACTCCTCCTCCTCCTCCTCCTCCTCCTCCTCCTCCTCGGCCTCCTCCTCCTGCTCCTCCTCCTCCTCCTCCTTCTCCGCCTCACCCCCCCCCCCTCCTCCTCCTCCTCCTCCTCCTCCTCCTCCTCCTCCTCCTCCTCCTCCTCCTCCAGCCAGAATTTCGGGTCGAATCCAGCCGTGGCGACGAGGACCTCACAAGAGGCCAACAAAAAAGAGCGAAGCTGAAAGAACGCGTAAACAGTTGGCGCTCCGCGCGGACTTCTTGGATCCGCGCCGGACCCCCCCTCCCTGACGCGCGGAGCGCGCCAGGGGCGGCGCCGGAGGCGCCGCCGAGGGGGGGCCTAGGCGCGGATCCGAGAAATCCACGCGGAGCGCCAGACGTTCATGTGTATGGCGCTTCCTCTTCTTCGAAGACTGAAGGGGCCGTGTGCCTTGTCTGCTCCTGACCCGCACGACCAACGGACTGGGAGGAGGGGGGCGTTACGTCATAGGGGGGGGGGAGCGCTACGTCATAGGGGGGGGGGCTGGGGGCCACGACGCCCGCCATGCCCCAAGCAAGAACGAAACGAGCTCATATGCCTTTTCTGCTCCTGACCCGCACGAACCGCGGACGTGTCCGTCCGCCGTGCTCTCGCCGTCTGGGGACCGAGGCGCGACCCGGGGGATCCTCGCCGAAAACGCGCCCAGCCTCGCCTGTCTCGCACCATAGGCGGAAGTGTTCGGTGGGCGGCACCTCACGGGAGCCTCCCGCACCTCCTCCTCCTCCTCCTCCTCCTCCCCCTCCTCCTCCTCCTCCTCCTCCTCCCCCTCCTCCTCCTCCTCCTCCTCCTCCTCCTTCCTGCCTCCTCCTCTTCCTGCTCCTCCTCCTCCCTCCTCCTCCTCCTCCTCCTCCTCCTCCACACAGACGCTACATCGACGGCACATCGGCGCTCAATCGACGCCAGCCGGCGCTGACTCGGCGCCACCTCATCGACTCCCAGACGCTAATCGGCGCTGGTCGACGCTGGCACCAGGATGAAGAATGTACCCAGACATGCGACGCCCTGATTTTTTCAGGACGGCGCCTCCGGAAGTCCCGACCCTTTCCCCGGGGCCGGTTTCTCATGCCGCGTCGTCTCTTGACAGCCACCGGGGCCCGGCGAGGGCCCCCGAGGGCCGAAACTATGGCGAAAAACCTACGCCCCGCATATTTCTTACGACGCGATCGTGTCTGGGCACACCAGCTCCCGTGATCTGCCGCCGAAGAACGGGGCAATTCCGGGTGGCTCGCACCGTGGTTGCGGGAGCCCAGGGGGGCAACTCCGAGGCGGCGCCCCGGGCCCGCACTAGCAGGCGGAGTGCGGTCACGATTCGTGCTAAGTCGGGCCTGTCTTCCTACAGAGGGATTTTCGTCGAAAAATAAAAGATACCCCCAAAATGCTCTGGGGACTATTTTTTGAACATGTTTTTCCTTTTTGAAGTATTTTTGGGGTATCTTTTATTCTTCGTCGGAAATGCCTCTGTAGAGGGAAACGCCCGACATAAGACTCGTGGCCTGCAGAGGGCGCCCACACCAGCAGGAGCACACAGCAGGGGCCCGTCCACAGGAAGCCTCCCGCAAGAGATGCGCACCGTGGTGAGCCGCGGTGGACCTGCTGCAGAAGAAATCGCGACCGTCTGGGCCAGAAGAGGTGCCAGGCACTTAGTGGGCCCTGGAAACGACAGAGCCGTGTTTTTTTACCGGTTCCGTTCTGCCGTTTTTTCGCCGAGCGCGCATTCACATCAGGCCGGGGCCAAGAGAGAAAGCCCTGGCCAGGCACGGTGCTGGCGCTAGGTCGGGCACATCCCCCTACAGGCGGGTTTTGGGGGGAAACTGTTTGAATAACTAGCCCAAGCATGCGCAAACATAATCAAAGGAGCACGACAAAGCGTCCCAAGACTATTCTTGAACTATTCTTGGATAGTCCTCCTGCAGAGAGACATGCCCGACTTGCTGCTGGTGTGGAGGCGCCCTCTGCGTATGTTAAAAGTTGCGATGCAGGCAGCTGGCTGTGGAAACGGTGCGCCAGCAGCACGTTCCGCTTGGGATGCAAGCCAAACAAGGGAAAGCGTGCGAACGTGCCGCGGACATGAGCGTTTCACTCGTGCGACAGAGGGGGGACAGAGAGCGCCAGCGCCCGAAGTACGAATGAACACTCGTCATAACGATGGCACGACATGTATTGCTAGAAACACACTGTTTGGTGTCCGCGCCAGCAAACATGTTTTACTACGGTGTTGCGCCCATCCATGTAGGCATCCTGGGAAGGCCAAGCTAATTGAGCCAACCCCCTTCTTTGATCGATCTCCTCCAAGAAGGCCCCAAGATGGCTCCCAACAGGCGTCCAGCACCCCCAAGAGGCTCCCAAGAAACCTCCAAGAGGCCCCGAGAAGCTCCCTCGAAACACCAAACACGCTCCAAGAGGCCCCTGGGACCGCCAAGAGGCCACCAAGACGACCCAAGAGGACCCCAAGAAGCTCTCAAGAGACATCCTAAGAGACTCCCAGAAGCATCCTGGAGGCCCCTTCCCTTTCTGCTCCTCCTCCTCCTCCTCATCCTCCTCCTCCGCTTCCTCATACGCCTATTTCTCCTCCTCCCTCCTCCCCCTCCCCCTCCGCCTCCTCCCCATTCTCCTCCGATGTCTCCTCCATTCCTCCCCTCTTGGGGTATGAGAATAATCCCCTCAAGACGGCCCCAACCCAAAAGGGAGGCCAAAGCGGAGACCGCCGCACGGGAACATGGTTGGGGACCCGCCACCTCCTCGAAAAAGCGCTCCCAAGAAGATCCAACAATGCCCCACGAGGTCCGAAGAGAAGCTCCGGGCACACACCCGGAACTGCCCAACGACAACAACCCCAAGAGGGTCCCGAGAGAGCCCCCCCCCCCCAAAAGCCCAGAAGGGAGGTCGCAGATCTGGTCCGAGAGGATCCAGAGACCAGACCACTGCACAGCAGATCGGGCAGGGACGAGTGCGCACGGCGCTGCTTCCCGTTGGGGTCGCTGCCTGGCAGCGCCTGGCGGCCCCGTCGGCGACGACGAACCGGGCATGTGTTCAGGTCGGGCATGTCCTCAGGCAGATTGAAGAGGGCAGATTGACAGGCATACTGAAAAGAGGCTGGTTTTGACAGGCGAAGTCAAAAAGAAGGCCAAGTAAACACCTGCTGTACGAGAATCAGAGCACGGAGACACAGCACCAGGCTATGTTTGGCTCATTCTTCCTTATTCTTCCTGTAGGGGGGCAGGTCCGACTGGAAGCACAGGGTTTCATCGTCAATTCTTCACGATTCTTCCTGTAGGGGGACAGGTCCGACTGGAAGCACAGGCTTTCATCGTCAGCTTCCCGGCGGGGCGCTGGGCGAGCGAGGCCACGACGTCCCACGAGAAGTGCCAGGCCGCTCCGCAACGGGCCCCCGGGGAACGCCCGCTGTTCGGCCGCAGGGGGAGGCCGGTGACCCGCGGGAGGCGTAAGACCGACCGACTGGAGGGGACGAGGACAGGGGGAGAGAAGGAGAGGGAGAGACAGGGAGAGAGAGATAGAGAGAGAGTGAGAGAGCGAAAGAGAGAGAGAGAGAGAGATCGACAGACGTGCACTCAAAAAAGGAGAGGGAGGGAGGGAGAGAATGAGAGGGAGAGAGAGACAGAAGGAAAAAGATCGAGAGAGGGAACGAGACAGAGAGACGGTGAGAGGGGGCGAATCGCTTCTCCCCGACAGGGCGCGCAGCTACAGCGCAAAAGGCGGCGCTGCTGCTTGCCAGCTGACAGTGGTGCAGGTCCGGGCGGGTGTGCGACCGTCGATGTGCGCCGGCGAGGAGGACCCCAACGGCCATCTCGACACGCCTCTATTGAAGGGGAACTGGGACACGCAAATAAATACACACAAATAAACATGTTCCCCATATTTTCCCATATTTTCTAGGTTTCTGTCTTCCCCCCCACTCCCCATATTTTCCCATATTTTCTGGGGAATCGAGGATAATTTGTGTCTGTGTGTTTTTTTCCCCTCCTGATCTATACCTATTCCGAGGGCACCCTGCGGGCCCCCCAGGTGGGCATCAATCCCAGTGGTCGCTCCTCCTAGTGACGTTCCTCTGCTGGGGTGTTGCCCGTGTTGCCCCAGCAGGGTCTCCTACTACCGGGGAGCTGGGAGCACACAGATGGCTGGAGCGCTGGAGATCGCCTGGCCACACGAGGGTCGAGCGCCGGAAAGGCATGCGGCCACGTGTGTGTCCGTGTCCAGCTCTTGCCCAGGCCAGCTGCGCCGTGTGCATCCAGCGTGATAGTGGCACTCTTCTCGCAGCCCCAATAAGTGTATATATATAGATACATACATTTACAAATACGTACATACATACATACATACATACATACATACATACATACATACATACAGACAGACAGACAGACAGACAGACAGACAGACAGACAGACAGACAGACAGACATGCAATACATATCTATATATCTATATCTATATATATATATATATATATATATATAACCTTTCGACGGTCCCCACGGATTTTTTGCACCTGCGCTGGAGACCCCCTCCCTGGCGCGTGGAGCGCGCCGGGGGGGGCGCGGCGCTGGAAGCGTCGCCGGTGGGGCCAGGCGCCGATCCAAGACATCCCGCGGAGCTCCGAATATCCAGAGGGGGACGAGCACAGGCATAAACAAAAATAACTCGGAGGTCCGCGCGGGTTTCGCGGATCGGCGCTGGGACACCCTGGCGGCGCCTCCGGAGGCCGCCCCTGGCACGCTCCGCGCGCCAGGGAGAGGGGTCCAGCGCCAATCCGAGAAATCCGCGCGATCCTCCGAGGCGTTGTTGTTTATGTCACTCTTCGCTCCCCCGAGTCATGTTCATGCCGCAGCTTGCTGCTCTGTCCTCGGGCCATCCAGCTCGGTGCCCCGCGCCGCCAAGCAAGGGATAGGTCGGGCATGGCCTCCTACAGGCGAATCTTCGTAGAAAAATCAGAGTGGTCACAAGGTATTCAGACAGAGTCAAAATACTCGACACATCGGCCCCATATTATGTTTCGACTAGTTCTGAATACTCCTCCTGTAGAGGGACGCGCCCGACTCAAAGCATGGCTCCGCCAGCTCCGCCAGCTCCGCACCGAGAGGCGGGGGGGGGGGGGGGGTTTGGGGGGGGCCCCCCCCCCGGCCTCCTCCCCATCGGCGCGCGCTCGGGGGGAGCCGCCGAGTAGGATGAAGGAGGAGGAGGAGGGAGTAGGTAGGAGGAAGGAGAGGAGAGAAGGAGGGGGGAATGAGGAGGGAGGGATGAGGAGGGAGGAGGAGGGAGGGAGGAGGCAGGATGGGGAGTGGGAGGGGGGGGGGGGAGGGGGGGTGGTAGCGTACTAGAGAAATTAGTATTCGTGATGGTGATTATTATTGTTTTTTAGGAATTTTTATTCGTATTCTCAGTTATTAGTATTGTAGTATTAATTATTATGCAATCCTTATTAAGTTTTCGCTTTTATTTCTGGTTCCTTTTCCCCGCGTGTCAGCTACTCCTTTACGGCTTTCGCATCTTTTGGCCCCCGCTATGGTTGTCTTCTCAATCCACGCCTCCCCAAGGAGGGCGCCGTCTGTTGCTGGTTCCCATAAATCTGCTATGGCAGACAGCGGCGGGTGCGGAGTAGGAAGAGAGAGGGAAGGGAGATGAAAGAACAACTGAAGGTAACAAGAGTTAGGAGGCTCTATGATCTGATTACACCCAGAACCCAGGAGGCGTCAACGATGCTGCAATCCGCCCGCCCTTCCCTCCTCCTCCTCCTCCACCTCCTCCTGCTCCTCCTCCTCCTCCTCCGCCTCGCGCCGAAGACACAGCGACGATGGATCGGCGGTGGGCCCCCGCAAGTCTCGGCCATTTCCCCCCGGGGGCCGTCTTTCCGTGTACGTGCAGTAGGGGCCCGACCACAAGAAGCCTTCCACACGAGACCCAACCCTGCGATCCCAGGACGTCTACTGATTTTTGACATGGGAGCGTCGCGCTGTCCATCGCAAAGCCATCGAAACCCAAGGGTACCCAGGACACCCTGGAGGCAAGCAGGGCGCTTCTTGGCACGGGTCTCCACTGCAAGTGACGATACTGTGGGATAGGCTCAGGGGGCGAGCATCGGCGGCCTGGAATCGGCGACGCAGCGCCGATGGATCGGCGACGGGCCCTCGATGGCAAACTGCACGCTCCTGGAAAGAGGTGGCCATAAGGACCTGGTCGGATCGGGGTTCCGCGCATCCCCCCCCTGCGACTACCCAGCCCCCCCCCAACGTTGCCCCTGATCTCCCCCGCCCTCCTCGACACATCGTGGCCAGCGGGCGGCGGAGGGCCGCTCCGCGCCGCGGGGCCCGCGCCGCATCAGGGCATGGAGGACCGCGCCGCGTGGGCCTGGCGGGCGGCGGCGCTGTCCGCAGGGGCCGCCCCGCTGGATGTCTGCGGGGCCCTCTGCCGATGAGCGCGTGGCGCAAACAATCGCGACGCCAAGGACGGCGTGCTCTCGGCCTCTGGAAGCCGCTCAGGCCCCGGGGACTGTCAACCAAAAATTCAGGACGAGCAGCCCATCGCCAGGAGCCCACGCGGAAAGAGCGTGGTCGTCGGAGGACGAGGGAGGGGGCACCCTTACTTCCCAGATCTCACGGCGCCATGATGAAAAGCTAGACGGAATGCATTTGACCATCCTCGGCCTCTGAATTCTGCTACCAGTCCCTGGGACTGTCAACGTGTGTGTGTGTGTGTGTGTGTGCGTGCGTGTGTGTGTGTGTGTGTCTGTGTGTGTGTGTGTGTGTGTGTCTGTGTGTGTGTGTGTGCGTCAACGTAGTTGACGCCTGGAATGTAGGGCTCTGAGGTCCATCCGCAAATCTAGCCTCACCTCTTCAGCTTCCCCCTCACCACTCCTCCGCATCTTCCTCCACATCCATCCTCATCCCTCATCCTGCTGCTCCTACTCTTGAACCATCTCCTCCTGCCCCTCCTCGTCTTAATGCGCCTCCTCCTCCTTTTTTGAGGCCAGCCCGTGCGTAGAGTCGGAAATGACAGAGCTAACTTAGCAACTAAACTGGGGGCCAGCCGCCACCCCACCGACCGAGCAGGAACACATCAATATCATAGATAAGGTCTCGAACGCGCGTTCAGTTGTCAAGTTAGCAGCGTTTGCCTTGCCAGAATGGCAGCGTCTCAATCTGGACTGCGTCGAACGATTGCTTGGCAGAGAGAGAGAGAGAGAGAGACAGCGGAAAGCTGTCAAGCCCGATCACTCCTGGCCCTGGTGCAAGAGTTGTCGGCGCTGCCATATTTGGCTGCCTGCTCGGAGGAGCAAGAAGAAACCAGGATGTTCGCGAGGGCCAACACATCAATACGCATAAACATGTATTGCAAATTGCCCATTGTACTGGCACGGCCTTCCAGTATGCGTCCCCAAAATGCTATGAGTACACGACTGGCGGGCAGGTGCGGAAACTTGAAGGGGATTGCTGCAGGACGTCTACCTTTAAATTGTCGTCGTGCGCCTGGGAGCAGATATGCTGTGTTGAACACCCTAGACCCCCAACTGTCCAAGTCGAACCTTTCTCTCTAGTTGCAGATGTCAGCGATGACGAGGGAAAGCATTCAGGGCCCACCTTCTCCCACCTGTACCTGTCCCTGCCACCCCCCTGGGTCCCAGGGTCCCGTTGGCCAGCTCAATGCTGTTCGAGCCAGTCTTGGAGCGGAGAGGGGGAGGGTCAGACTTCAAAGACTCAGAGCTCGCCCTTCTGTCTTGTCTTGCTCCCGACGGATCTGACCGACCCCACACGAGGGCTAACCTCCCATGGCGCACACACCTTCGCCTCTGAATTCGTGTGCTGGCGCGGCCTGTCGAGCAGGATGTTCCCCAGCTCTAGCACGACATGTTCGGGCCTGTCTGTGCAGGAAGCACGCTGCAAAACAACTCCTCCTTTGGGCCCCTCCTCCTCCCCCTCCTCCTCCTCCTCCTCCTCCTCCTCCTCCTCCTATTCCTTCTCCTTCCCCGTGCTTGTCATCGTCGCCGTCCCCCTCCTGCTTCTCATCTTCCTCCTTCCTGCTAGGCCCACGCCCGGGCCCCCGCGCAATACCACACCCACCCGCCCTCGGTCCGAACCGCGGGCGCAACGACGCGATTGCGCGAGGAATTCCGCCCTCGACCAAGGAGGAGAGGGGGGGGGACGGAATATAACAAGTGATCTGATCTTGAGGACACCGCTTCCGCTCCTTTCCTCGCCCTTTCGTCCGCCCTCGTCGCTGCCATCCTCGCTGGGGCGCTGCCTCACAGGGGACGAGAAACGACGGGGCGAAGCCAGCTGCACCTGCCGCGGACTCTCTGGGCCCCAGAGGTTCCCGATGGCGCACACAGAGTGCGCTTATCCTTGCGCCCCCCCCCCTTCTCGGGCAGTAGTGGGTGGTGATCTGTCGCTGGTGCATGCAGACAAGGGCCCTACAGGAACCCATTCGGGCCCCTCGTGGGCCCCTACAGAAGGGACCCCAGGCCCCTCCAGGGCCCTTTCCTTCGCTCGCCATTCAGGTCAGCCCTCCTCCTGCTCCTCCTCCTCCTCCTCCTCCTCCTCCTCCTCCTCCCCCTCGTCCTCCTCGTCCTCCTCCACCCACCCAACGCCCTCCATATCCCCACACACACACACACACACACACACACACACGCTTAGCAGCGCCCGGCTCGCCCACAGGGGGCCCGAAACGCTGGTGGGCGAGCCTTGGCGCGCGCCCGCCTGCAGACGGCCCCCACGGTGTCGGTGGAACCTGGCAGGGGTGCGACGGAGAAGCTACAGTCGGGGTGGACAGGAGAGGGCACGCGAGAGGACTCGAGAACCTTCCGACGGCCACATTGCCAGCGGAACAGAGGGCATGGGTCGCGAACCACAGGACACAATGTCACCCTTGCTTGGGCAGGGTCGACCTACGAATCAACCTCGACTGTAGCACCATACGGGCGATCGACGTGTGCTCTGAGGCGCAGCCCGGACGAGGGCACGTCCAGGTGAGGGCACCTTGGCATTCGCTGAGATCCGGCGGCTCCGGATGCTGTCTCTTGGGCGCCGCGGCCGTTCCAGAGCGACGCTGCGGAACGGACGGATGCCCGTCCTCGCCCCATCCGGTGATCCGTGCCCCTTCGCACGCCCCGGCCCCTGAGGGGCAACGATAAGGGGGGGCCAGGGGTAGGGGGGGGAAACATCGACCTGGAATCGGCGATACATCGCCGATAGATCGGCGATGGGCCTCCGATGGTGAATCCGCAGGGTCATGGGCAGGTCAGGGCTCTCGCGCCCCCATCGGCCATCAATGGGCGAGGGGGGGTCGATGTATCCCCCCCTATGCCTATCCCCCCCCTATCGTTGCCCCTGAGCCCCACGGGGCGAGCCAGAGCGGGGGCGGGGACCGACTCGTTGCCTCCAGGGCGGCGTGTGCTGTGGTCCCTGGTCCCTGCCCTGCCGCCCCTGGCGCCCCCGCGAGGGGAGCAGCAGCAGGGGCATGGATCGAACGTCGGCCGTCGACATCCAGCCTCGAGCTGATCCTTTTATCCCTCAGATTGACAGCACTGCCCAAGGCGAATGCCAATCCTGGGGATGCGCCACCTGAAAGTTCCAGAATCCTCGAGATCGGCGTCGAGACAAGGCGGTGCCGATACCAGGGATAGGAATGTGTCAGGCTGGCGAGATGGAGGACGGTGGCGCTCAGCCCTGGGCGTCGCAACAACAACTCGCGAACACACATCTTTCTACGTCCTCGTCTTCTGTGAGCGGTGCCCCTGGCAACGGCACCGTCAAACATCTGCCCATAATGAAAGCCTGCTCCCCGGGAGCAGGTCGAGATCCACGAGGGCCCTCGCAATCAACTGGGTAAGACGTCGGAGGAGAGAGGATGATAAACATGAAGAAAGACAGAACTCGGACAAATGGGACGAGAAGGCGGAATACGCGGGTCGAGAACATTAGCCTGTTGGCGCAAGGCCCACTGCCCCATGAAGATACCAACCACAAAACACAGTCCAAGGTGAAGGCACAACCACGGAAAATAAGGTCACTTCCAGAAGACTGGGACGATTCTGAACCTTCGTGCACGTTCTCAAGAGAGGTTGGATGCGGATTTGAGAAGGCAAGAGGAGGTAAGAGGGTGAAGGCAGAGGAAGGATGGGAAGGTGCTTAGGATTCGAAGAAGGAGGACTTGGACGAGGAAGAAGAAGAGGAGGATGAGGAGGGAGGAGCAGGATAGCAACGTACCGCGTGCCTGGTGGAGTAAGACAGTTGAAGAAAATGAAGGAGGGGACGGAGAAGGGAATACGGAGCAAGGCGAAGAGGAGGATGAAGACGAGGAGAAAGAGCAGGAGGACTCTCTCACCCCACTGCCCTTGCTCTTGACCCTGGTGCCGCCAATCCGCATGACCCCCTGGTGCTGCTCCTCCTCCTCCTCCTCCTCCTCCTCCT